TCGAGAGAAACCCGCAGGTGAAGGCTTCTCCCCCAGTTACTGGTTACAGGCCTGGAGCTGAGAGTTGCCTGCAGGGAATCTCCGGAGCTGCATCAAGTCCTGCTCCTGGGAAGGGAGAGCCCTTTGCAGTGATGTGGGCTGGGGACAAGTGTGAGCAAGTCCAGCCGAGAGCCATGAAGATGATGAGACCACAAAGTTGATGAGATGTTGGAGAATGACGGGTAAGGATGATAGTCCTTGCAAGCTGGCTCGCCTCTCCTCTGCCTCTGGCCTTGCACTTTGCGTACCTTCTTGTGGCTCCTGCTTGGTCTTGGCTGCACAAATGTTTCAAACTGATCTGCTCAAAAAACTGGTTGGAACCTGACGCCAGGCCAGGAGTAATGCTAATGGACTCGATCTCAAATAATAGCATGGTGCATACCACAGACTGGTAAGCATCAGAGGATGTAGTAAAAACCCTTTCCCAGGAGAGGCAAGGGAGGAGGAGTGATAACATCTTTTACGTGGCGCGCTGTCTCCATCAGACTTCCTGGCAGGACATGCAGAGAAGACCTGTTGGCCTGTGCTGCCCGCCTCTGCTAGCACTGTTGTAGGAGGAGTTTGGGCAGACCAAAACTGCTTTTCTGCAGGTATTGGAGGTACCGCGCTACCTCACCTGCTGTGAGCTTTTTCCAAGAGGAGCTGGCACAGGACACTGCCAGCACAGCGTCTTCCCGGTGATGCCGCCGTAGCCTCAGTTTATCACATGAACAGTCTCATCCCATGGCCTCGTCTTGCTGCACCAGCCACGGCACAAGGGCTGGCTGCTCTGTCTGGGTGTCTCAACCCTTCCTGGCTGTCATCACCCAGGGGAAGGACACTTAGCTTTCCAGAACGTGGGAGATGTGCACCGTAGGCAACAGACCACTGGTGATGGTGGTGAGATCTGCTGCAGAGATGCCCTTAGCATCTTGAAAATGGATTGAGAATGAGCAGGGTCCAACTGGTGCATCCATCTGAGCTAGAGCACTGAAGTTTTAACTGCACGCTCGGCTGCTGCAAGCCCTATAAGCTGTCTGTTACAGAAGAAGTGCGTATGATGGGGAATATTCTGACGTGCCTCTGATGGCTTGAGGAGCTCTCGCTGCCACTGGCAAGTCCTGGTCATATTTTTATTTGCCTGTTTTTCTTGTGCAGTGGTTGTCATTTTAAAAAAAAACAGAGGGGCGGGAAAAAAAGGTATGAGCTGGTTTTTCCATGCAGTGGTGTTGCAAACACCATAGCTGCTGGTTTTTTTTCTGGGGGATAGGTGGACAGGTTCAGATATTACAATAGGAGTAACTGCTGATTTTGTTTGATCTTAAATGTGAATCGTTCTGAAATTAATAGTGATAATTGCTTTTGGGAATGTTTTGGGGTGTTTTTTTGGTTGGGTTGTTTTTTTGAGGCTCAAAGCTGGAAAAACGAAAGTTTGCCAAATTGCTAGTCACAGGGCATGTTTCATCCAGGGCGTGACGACTTTATTGCCTTGGAGAACTTTTGGGCTTAGAAACGCTGCTGGATGGGTAGTCCTGGAGGCTGCAGTCCGTCCTTTGCACCAGAGCTTTGTCTCATCAGTGACTTCGTAAAGGTCTACTGGGATGTGAATTTACCTTCTACATAATGCCATTACAGCGTGGGCAGCAAAATGCCATTTTTCTTCTAGCAGTTTCCTTGTGGGTTGATCTAAAGATTCCTCTAGGTGCCCGTTCACATATCTCGCTTCTCTCTGGAGGTGACTAGCAGTCGGGGTCTTCAGGGTGGGTTTTGTGGAGGGCATGCTGCCCTGCCAGGAGCAGGACAGAGAACCCCGGGTGGGGGTCTGGCTGGCTGGTGGGAAGCCCTTTCCCTGGGCAGCAAGGCGGAGGGCTGGATCCGGTCGTAGCAGTCCGTGGTGTGCCATGCCCTGCTCTTGGGACGGTGGTGTGTCCATGCAGTAAGACCCGTGCCGGCTGACCTGACAGGAGCTGGAGGCAAAGACGTGGCAGGAGGAGCATCCTTCAGCCCCCCTGTCCTGCCTGGGGAAGCAGAGAAGGGCTGGCTTCTGCAGGCCAAGCTGCAGTAACCCATCAACCACCGTCTGCCAACTTGAAGGCTTCTTCTGCTAGTCCAGGTTGTGGGCTTCGTGAAGCAACTCTGAGCAGTTGAGGGAACAGCCTTCTGTCCTGTTAATAATTTTCTCTGAGGCTGAATGATTCTACGCTTCTACTTTATTTTTGTCAAGGAAGTTTTGTTTAATTTGTGAACTTTGGGTTTCCATCACGCATCCCTGCAAGCACCTCCTGCTGCTAATAAATTTTGGGCTTGTGTGTGTGCAAAGCTGAGTAGAGAAAAGCCTCCTGGCTGAGACAAGGGAGCAGCCAGCATAACACCAAGACTAATTCGACGTGCACACAGCTGAAGCTTCCCCTTTCCCTCCCCAGACCATAGCAAACCCCTCCACATGTCCCCACTGAGTTGCGTGAGGTTAGAAGGACTGGGATGAGCTTGCTGAGGGAAATGGCACATGGACCTGACTCTGTGGGCTTACTTTAAGGGTTTGCTGGATCCCTAAGACTAGCCTGGACCTGGTGAAGAGTGTGGTGTAAGATGGACTCTGACGTTCTTCAGGATGGCCACCATCATCTTCGCTTGGTTTGCGCGATGCTAAATTGCAGGGTGGTCCCACTGTATAGCAGGAGCTTCTTGGAGCCACTGCAACCCCGGTGATGACCGTGAACGTAAAGCCATTTTCACAGTTCTCTGGTATTTTAGGAATTTGGGAGCTGCCGTTCAGTGACTGCGCAGCTGAGACGTGGGAGGAAAGCTGAAGACAACTGGTGAAGTGTGCAGTGGCTGTCGTGCTAAAATGGGCTGGAGAGGGTGAGCTGACATCTGTAAAATACAGGGAGCGGGTTTGACTCGATCTGTTCTGCCGAGTCAGCACTAGGAGTGTTTTAGTCCTGTTAAACATCCTTGTAAACGAGATTTACAGTGCAGTCTGACGCAGGGTCTTGATCAAAAGCAAACCCTGGAGTGACGATTAAACCCAGCCTTGCTCTGTCGTAGGAGAGCAGTTAACAGCGGCAAGAAACCAACCTTCCTTCACTTGCTGAACTTCAATTATTTGTTGTTTTAATAGGCAGGAATAAATAGTCAACAAATAAGCTTCCTGTCCTTCATTGATTGTGTTCTGCTGATTATAAAGAAACTTAAAATCTGACTTCTTGATTCTTTTTTAATTGAAACCTGGCTAACCCTGTGGGATTGATGTCATCCAGTTGCATGAACTAGAAAGGGTTCATGCCTGGATTCTCAGCTGGAGGATCGTATGGTGACTTGGGGTGGAGGTATTTTCCTGAAGTAGCTTGGATTAGCTCTTGCGTTTGGGACGTGCCTCCTCTCTCCTTTCCGTATGCCCTCCCCTAACACTGGGCATCTCAGGCAGGGCGGGGGATGCCACGGGAAGAGCCTTTGGGCCTCTGGAGCTGGAGGACAACATCAGGGCTTCCTGGCAGCTGATGGGGGCTCAGCACAGCCTTCCAGCGCCCTGCCTTTAGGGACGGCTTTCACGGCACCTTTGCTGTCTCTCCACAGGACCTGCTGCGAGTATCTCTACTCCCAGAGGGATACAACGGGGTTGTAAATTGTTGGTGGAGCTTGCGGGGATGTGTCCTACCACGCGGCTGTGCTTTCCTGCCTTCTGGCTGGGAACAACGAGCAGCCCTTTGGCTGGAGGGAATTTGCCCCGTGAGCAGCCGGCTGTTTGACGTGCAGAGCCCTGCTCCCAGGGAAACGCGTGCCGGGACGGAGCAGCTGGGGTGCGACTCGGCTCTCTCGCCCTGTAGCCCGAAGGACTGAGGATCCCAAGTGGAGATGAGCTTGCAGCTCCTTTGGGAGCCTTTCCCCATGGTTACTGTCAGAAACACAGATCTCTGCATCCTGTTCCGGTCTGTGCAGCTACACCACCGTCCAACGAGGCAAAAACATGACTCAGATGCTTCTTTCGGGGGGGCTGGCGGAGGCCGTAGAGGAAGCAGGCGGGTTTCTCCCACCCCGTTGTGTGGACTGGAGTGCTATTGCAGTTTTAGCAGAACGCAGCCTCAGCGCAAAGCCCCTCCGCATGTGTCCACGGACTCGTAAGCCCTGTGCTGGGACGCGGCGAGGGAGCGAGCTGCCTCTCCCCGGGCTGCGGCAGGGTCGGAGGGAGGAGGGCTGGTGCCCATCCCGATGCACGCTGAGCATCCCTGCCTGCCTCCACCACCGCCATGCTCCGCTTAGCCGTACCATGGGCGGTTGTGAGGGGCAGTGCCGATTGCAGGCTGCAAACTGGAGGCAAGGGGCTTGCTGGGCCTTGGCTATAATTAGCTGTGTGATAATTATTGAGTGATTCTTGGGCCATGGGGTGAGGAGCGGTGTACGCCTGCTTGCAGCCAGGCTGTGCAGCCTAACGGTGGGCTTGCAGGACAATACAGCAGAGCAAAATCCTGGTGCTACTAGAGGTGGGACCTTTGCGGCGAACTTCCCTTGGGCCGTTCATCTCGAGGTAGCCTGCATTGTCTCTTCCAGTGGGTGAACTGAACCGAGAGTTCAGTCCCATACCTGCTTGATGGTAAAGCTGCTGTGATCCCTACCAGGCCGGAGGAGGTCAGCGGCAAGCATGGATGCTGGAGATATTCCAGACCTGCCTGGGTGCAGTGCTGTGCAGCCCGCTCTGGGTGACCCTGCTTCGGCAGGGGGTTGGACTGGGTGACCCACAGAGGTCCCTGCCAACCCCGACCATCCTTGGATTCTATGCTCTGTCTTTGTGGGGAAGCGGGGCTCTGCCGTGTGCCTTAACAGGGGCTTGCGCATCTGTGGGGCTGCCCTGCGGTCTGCCAGGAGCTGGATGCGCCTGTAAGAAATAGGTCCTGCCTCTGCTTGACTCGTTTACCAGCTGGGAGAAGGCAGAGGACCTAAATCGCATCTTAACAGGGCTCTTCATGCTCTCCTTTTTGCAGGGTGGCCACTGACCACAACGTTGATAACACGACGGCGATCCTCAGAGAGTGGCTGAAGAACGTTCAGCACCTTTACCACGATGTGGAGTGGAGGCCGATGGAAGACCCCCCGTGAGTACTGCAGTGAGGGGATGGCTGAAACTGGTGAAGGTGGATATGTAAAACTTCCTAGGTTTTCTGTTTTCAGAGCAGGAGATGTACTAAATGTCCAAGCATTGACACGGGGATTTTTCTTGTGGGGTCCGTTCCATTAAAATTGTGATCTTACGGAGCCCACAAAAAAGGTCTCTGACTTCAGTGAAGCAGCTCATGCAGAACGTCAGAGAAGAAAGCATTTTCTATTCAGTTATTTAGCATCTGCAGCTGCTCTCTTTGCATGGTAAATAAATCACATCAAAAGCTACAGGGAATAAAAACTCTCATTCTTTATTTGCAAGGAAGCAGAGGAGTCATAGCCCATTCCCATAGGGTCTCTGAAAGCTCTGTCTGAGACGTCAACTATTCAGTAAGTTCTGAGCCAGAGAACTAGATTTAATTCAGTATATTGTGCCTTTGCATGACTTGCAGGATCATTGCTTTGAAATGCGATGTTAGGTTTAAGGAGAATCCTCGTTTAAGACATGAAAGGCAACACTTATTTACAATCTGAATTTCAAAGTGAAAGGATGGTATGTGTTGGATTTTTGTTGCCCTTTTTTTTTTTTTTTTTTTCTTTAAACATCAGCTGTTCCTTGTCCTGTTCTGTTTTCTCTTTCTTCCACCAGGGAACAGTTACAGCAGTTTCCCCTTCACGTAGGTTTGCTTTTACTTTCAAGGTCCTCAGTGCAGTGGTGGGGCGTTTGTGGTACAAACCCCCAGGGAACGCTTGTTTTACTGACTTTTTTAATCCTTTCATTGGAATTCCATTTTCTTAATCCTGTCAAACTTCACTATTTTAAGTTCTGCAAAAACCTTTTGAAATTCTTAGCTCCTTCACTGGCTTCTGCTGGCACTGTTTCAGAGTCCTGAATTTTTATTCCCCATCAGGATCTGTCACTGAGTTTCCTTCCATCTGTGTTACACAGCATCTGGACCTGATCCTGAGAGCAGAGGCATGCGCAGAACAGTGCTCACGTGGTTGGGCTGGTGGGGTGGGGTGTTTGTAGATCGAAGAGCTGTTATCGGGATGTGTGAACAGCTACTAATAACGCGCAGACCCTGGGGTGGACGAAGCTGCCTTCATCTTCACATCCTCAGCTCTGTTGAGTCTACTGGGCTTAAGGAAGCAGTATTTGTGGTCTTAACTTAAAGCCTGGCAGAGGACAGACGACTTTCTGCCAGAAGGTCGGATGAGGTAAGTCAGCTTCGGTTCATTTTGGTGGGGTAACCTCTGCTTTCGGCCCGTGGCAGGAGAAGCTCCTGGGTTTGGTGGTGCTGGTTTGCTTGTGGCCGCGCGGTCGGCAGGACGTGCTGCAGCGCAGCGTGTTCGCCGGTGCCCTGCAGACACAGGCCAGCACGGAACTTGGAACCGTTTTCCCTCAAAAACCTCTCTCCTCGGTTACCTGAGGTGACTTAGCACTGTTTTTCTTCTGGAAAGAAGGCAGCAAGGGAACTCTTTAAATTTTTTTTTCCTTTTGACTGGTGTAATAGGGCCCAGACATGGGTTGCAGTCACTTCTTTTCTTTGCTAGGTCTTACCCAGAAGAAATTGGGCCAAAACATTGGCCGAGCTCCCGATTCACTCACGTGATGAAACTCCGACAGGCAGCCCTGCGCGCTGCACGGGAGAGGTGGTCAGACTACATCCTGGTAAATACAAGGTTTGATTTGTTAACTGTCCTCGGGCAAAAGCTTTTCAGGTGGTCACTCTGACACTTGGGGCTGTCAGAATGTTTCTTCTCCATCCGAAGATCTCGCTCTCTGTAGCGAGATGCTGTGTGTCATTTCTTGCTCTGATGAGCAAGGAGTTTGCAGCCGGGGAGGTAAGTCCCTGGGTTAAGCCCAAGGCTTTCTGCACAGCCCTCAGGACTGAATGTAGTCCTGGTGGTGGGTAGGGACCTCTGAGGGTCCCCTAGGTTGAAACCTCACCTAATACCGATGAAATCCGGGGGAAATAGTTCAGCAGAACGGTTGTGGAAGGGTGCGTGCCTTTGGTCACTGCAGCAGCCGTTGGTGGTGGTGTTCCCCAGCCTCTGGACAAGGCAAGGCTGAGGCCAGTTTTTGAGAGTTGTTCTTGATCTTCTTCACGGAATAAACCTGTCCTGAGTTTTCAGCAGTGTTCTTTTCCCTCGCAGCTCCCTTGCCTCTGTGCTGGAGTAACGTTCTGTGGAGTCAGAGAGAGGGAAGCTCCACATCTTTTCCCATCTCACGGCTTTGTCGGAGGGGCAGCCGCCCCTGGGTTTATCTGTAGCAGCAATGTTCCCTACGGTATCAAAACCACCAGCTCGGTGCTTTCTGGGGTTTTTTGCCAACCTCGTGCCTCTGGCTGCCTCATTCCCAAGAATGTATCAGGGGAAACATATCGTTTCATCTAATAACAAATTGCTTTTTCTCTTCCCCCTCTAGTTTATTGATGCAGATAATTTACTGACCAACCCACAAACCCTGAGCCTGATGATAGCAGAAAACAAGACACTGGTGGCACCGATGCTCGAGTCTCGCTCTCTCTACTCTAACTTCTGGTGTGGCATCACCCCCCAGGCAAGTGGCTGCGCGAACGGTGCTGGGTGACCGTGCGAGCTGTGTTTTCAAAGGCCTCCTGCCTTGTGTCTGTGAAGCAGTGGGCATCGTTTCTCTTCTGTGGGCTTTCCCATCCGCTTTCGTAGCGTCCTTCTTCTGAGAAGAAGCCGCTGTAGCTCCAAGGCATGCAGAGGTGACGCTGGCATGTTGGGCAGATAGTGGTGTCGTGCAGTCATCTCAGCTTGCGCCTGTCTCGGTGGCGGCATCCCAAGTGTTGGGTGGGTATCTTTGGGAGAGGTCCGTACATTTATAGGGAATAAGGGTAGAGAGGGCGTTGCAGCCTGTAAACGTTTTTCAGGCTTTGCTTTCTAGCCAAGCTGTAGGTCTGAGCAAAGCAGCACATGTCCTGCAGTGGGTGTGCAGGCACATGGCTGAAACTTGCTTCGTCATCTGAGATTCCTCGCTTGAAAAAGCTGAACCTGGAGGAAGCTGAGCTTGCTTTGCCAAAAGTCCTGGGAAGTGATACAATCCCACTAACTACATAAAAAATACTGATATACAACCAGAATTTATTTGAGGTGGTTCCACATGTGTGTGTAATGGCCTTAAAACTCTTGGTAAGTAATTTTAGACTAGCTTTCCTGTATAGTGACGCTAATCTGAGAGGAATTTGCTTTTCCTTCTTCGCAAAGCTTGCCCTGCTGCATAGACAAATGTGTTTAAGCCTGAGCTGCGCGTACATCTTTGAGCTTCCCCGGGGCTTGTGAACAGGAGTGCTTTAGAGAGGCTCCACGGTCTTGCCCATCCCTACCCTCATGCTTTATTGCAGAGAGCTAACCAGGTACTAATTAGTGTCATTATTGCTGGGGTGAAACAAAGAGAAAATACCATTCCCCCCTTTTTCTGGTGTAAAACATCGTTCTTCTTCCCGGTGCTACCAAGGACACAAGTAGGGACTACAGGCAGAGGGAAAACGTAAGAACTGTACTGGGTCAGACCAAAGGTCCGTCCGTCAGCAGTGGTTTGGAGTAGATGCCTAGGAAATAGTGTAAGAACATGGCAAACAAGTGAGTGAGTGATACTTCCCCAAAATATTTTTCTATCCTCCAGCAATCTGCTTCTGTAGGATTTCCTGAGGAAGGACTTTGTCTTTAAAGGTCTCAGGGATATTTTTCTTTTACAGAAATCACCATCTGAATCTGTTTTTTTGGCACCCACGCCATCTTATGGCAAGGAGTTCCAAAGTTCAGACTAATTGAGAAAAATAGAAGGAAAAGGTCCTGAACTTTCCAGATTCCTAGGAAGTAAATCTATAGATAAGAAAAGGGATGTGTGGGAGTGTGTTTACTTGTTTCAGTTTTTCATTTAAAATGGAGATAGCAAAGGCATTGTCCTTGAAGTTTTTAAGGTGAAGCCCTGAGACAGCCAGGTTTTCCACCGGTGTAAATCAGCACTGCTCCCCAGCCTGGGCTGGGTCTCTGCCTGTGCGCACCAGGCCCGGCCATGGCCCTAGCCCCCCTCTCCCGTAACGACCTCCCATCACTACCAGCATTAGCTGGGAAAAAGAAGGGGGGAAAAAACTAGCAGCTAATGCATCTTGCAGGATTTGGTGAAAAAAGCTGCTTAAAGGGACAGGAAAGTTCCCACTTGTTTTTTTTCTTTTCTGTTAGTTGCTGCTCCTTGTTTCTGTGGTCGCAGTCCCACATTTTCATGCTCTCGGCCTTGCTCTCCCTGGGGACTCAGCGAGGGAGCAGCAGCTGGAGCACGCCCCGACAACCAGCCTCCGGCACGGAGCAGCGGCGAGCCAAACCCAGCTCCAGACAGCTTGACATTTAGCTGTCATGAAGCGAACCTTAGGAGCAGAGCACAGCTACAGCACTGACAGTTGGATCTTTCTTGACCGCACCTAATTTCTGAGCAGCAAAAAGCCCCAAAACCCTGTAGCGAGTGACTGGAGGAGGAAAGATCCAGCATCTTTCACCTGTGGGCATTCTCAGATGTCTGTTAAAGGTGGAATTCTGTGAATGCCTTAACTGCAGTGGGAATGCGAGGAAGGTCTCTGCCCGCTCGCTCCCTTTCACAGTAATCAGGCCGGCTCTGTTGGAGGTACCTTCTGACCACACTGTGAGGACTCGGTGTCTGAGGGGCAGAGGGGGATATCGACAGATGCGTAAACGGACCAGTGCACCGCGCCATGCTTCTACACAAAACCAGGGTGAAGTGGTTCTGCAGTGGTTTGCTCGGCTGTTGCTAGGATACTCGTGGAAAATATAACGTAGAAATAACTTACTTCGGTGACTCATCATTTCTGTAAAGACCAGATTCTGCTCCGGATCCAACTACCAGCCGTGTCCAGATGTCCAATCGGTGCATTAGGACTTTCTTTCTGGGTGATTCAGTGTATTTATTTCCAAATTTGATAGCTTTAGACGTCCTGCAGCTGCAAAACCAGCTGAGCGCCGCACAACGTGGGTGTTGCCGAAGGCTGGCAGAGCTGGTGGCTACAGGGAGTGAGCTGAGTGCGCTGCCTCCCCCAGACACGCTCCCCAGGGAACGCTCAGGAGTGGGTGTTGGACCGGCTGGCCCTGGGATGGAGGAAGCAGGGATTCTGACACAGCTGCTGGAGACTGAGGTGTTGCCTTTGCTGTAGTGGAGCAAAAAAGTTTGTTTTCTTTTTTTAAAGTCATGGTCAGAAATAATCTACAGGTCCTGTTCTGCAAGACACTGAGTGTCCTTTGTCCCCGTTGAACGTGGAGGATGCCACGGGTGCTCAGCAGCTTCCAGGATCAGACCTGAGACTCCACGTGCGAAGAAAGGTTTCTGGAGAGACAGGGGGGAAAAAAGTCCGAGGTTTGAAGTGCTATTGCGAGGGAGTTGTGCAGTGGAAAGTCTTGGATTTCCAATAGCTGCTAAAAAGGAGAGAGAAGGTCAAGCTTTAACTTTTGGGATGGAGATTGTTGCTAAATACTTGACTGATCCCTTTCCAAAGGGGAGACACTTCAAAATCTGAGACTCGGGCACTGGTCCGTCTCTGCCTGGGGGCTATGGGGGAGAGCTTTCGCTAGGGAGCGTCTGTGAAACAGAAGTCTCTTGTAACGAGCATCCCTCTCCTTGTGTTTGCAGGGCTACTACAGAAGGACCCTGGATTATCCCCTGATTCGGGAATGGAAGAGGACAGGCTGTTTCCCTGTCCCAATGATTCATTCCACGTTCCTCATTGACTTGAGGAAAGAGGCCTCCACCAAGCTGATGTTCTACCCGCCCCACCAGGACTACACCTGGAGCTTTGACGATATCATGGTCTTTGCCTTCTCCAGCCGCCAAGCAGGTATGTCTGGAGCCTTTGCTGTAGAGACATGGGGGTCTCTACTCGGAGCTCACAGACCGAGTGTTTCATGTCGGCTTCAGTGGTGGGCTGAGACCCTGTTCCGTTTCCTCTGCTGGATCTGGTCAGGGATAACCAGCAGCGAGTGACTGGCAGTGTGGTTTTGAATCACAGCGAGCTTCAAAGGATGTGGGAGCCATTCTCAGGGTGAGGACAGTGTTTCAGAGACAAAATGTGTGGCATCCACCCTTGATTTGTGTCACAGTAAGATGGAGGTGAGCACAGGTGGATGCTCGGAGATCGGTACGTTGGCTCCAGAGGAGAGTGGAGGTTGAAGTCTGGGTAGCAAAGCAGGCTCCTTCAGATCTACCTCTCGCTTGTTCCTTCTGACAGCTCTCCCAGAAACGCACCGTCCCGTTTTAGTCTGGTAACTGCTCTGCATTAGCTCTGGCTGCTGAAGAAGTATTTCAGGGGTTCAAACACATCATTTTTTCCTTCTGTCCTAGAGTACTTTAGCTTTTTCCAGGGCTGACCCATGACATGAGCTGCTTTGCTTCAGCAAAACCCCTTGGTCTGCTCAGATTGTTGGCTTGTGTCCTGGGCTGAGTTTTGTCACCCAGGATAAAAGGATGACATCCAAGTTCAGAAATGTGAAAAATGTGTGGACTTAGAGGTGAATTTCTTGTGCGAGTAATTTCACTTAATTCCCTGAAGTGAAAAGTGATGTTGGCCTTTGTCCAGGCCAAGAACGCCTTAGATCAAACCATCGATTTTCAGCAGTGAATCTGCTTCTCGAAGCAACTCTTTTGTGATGCTCCAAAGAGACCGTCCCGCTTCTGCTGAGGGGACGTGGCCTGTGGCGGGAGCACTGACCCGGAGCGAAACTCGCTGCGGGTGTTTTGCTGGCATGGGTGGACTCTGGAGAGCCCCTTGCAGCACTCAGCCGGCGAGCGGTCCTGAGCTCCCCATCAGCCAGAGGCTCTGCAGACCTGGAGCCAGCCGGCAGGAAGGTCTGGGCACAGGGACGTGGGGGAAACTGAGGCTATCAAGTATCTATAGCTTTTCTGTCCCTTGTGGCAGTTGTTTGTTCTGTTACAAAAACAGAGCCGGAGAGCGAGTCCCCCTCCCCTTTTTAAAGTGGCTTTTATTTTAAAGTTCCTTTGTTAAAGGAACAGAAATACTGGTGTGGATCTGGGCAGATTAACTGTGTTTAAGCCAGCGGAAGAGAAGAGCGGAGATCAGTGAGCCAGAGAAGATTAGTTGATTAGATCAGTGCCAAGTCCATTAATGTCAGCAGGTAGCATGTTTCATTCTGCCGTTCACCTAAATTGCGGCTGACAGCTGAATGTGTTTTGGCAAGCAGGGTAGCCAGCAATTTACGTGCAGAACTTAAAATGGTGGAAACGCTGGGGTCGTGAATGCAGACAATCCCGCTCGGCTAGAAATACCAGGGATGAGGAGGACGAATCCGTGAAAGCATCAACACACCAGGCAGCGTCTGCTTTTGGTTTATATCCTGGAGGGGTGGTTGAGCTTGTTTCATTTAACAAAAAACGAAAAAAAAGCCAAAAAAATAAAACAAAAAGGCAGGTTCGCATTTTTCTTTGAAACCGCTTGGCCGGTTGTATGGATTCTAGCAGCTTTCCGACTGTGGTTAATTAATGAAGCACCTGACCAGAGCTCAGTGAAAAACAGAAGTATTTTCTCTTGGCTTCTCTGGATGTTGCTTTCGAGTGCGTTGCCTGATGTGACGCCAGGCCCAGTGCTGCTGGAGTTGTAGCTGGTAACGAGCAAAGCCTCGGTCAGCCCGGAGGGAGCGGCGCTGAGCTGCTCACGCGTTGCTGGGACGTTCCCAGGGAGCAAACTCTGCAGTGGGTCTTCCATCTTCTCTGTGTTTCGCGCCTCTAGATTCAGCTCCTTCACCAAGCAGTGGCAAAAGCTTTTGAGTAGAAGGATGTTGGGTTTATCACCTCTTCTTGAAAGCATCTTTTCTCCTGGCTGGTGTCTCTAGGATTTTCCTCTAACCTTCAGGGCACTGGAAAAACTAGTGCTGGAGAAGAAAGAACCAGGTATTGGTGGTAGACCGGGCACTTTCAAGGTGGTTATCCTAGATATTCCTGAGAGTCCTTTGCCAACACAGGTGAAAATGTTTTTATTTTCTAGCCAAAGCAAGCAGAAGCAGGAAGACGCTTGGCTGCAAAACACAGAGCAAATCCCTTGCTAGGGTTGGTTTGTGTTTTTCCCCCTCTAAGGCTGCCTGCTCCAATAGACCTGGGATGCATTAGGAGGAGTGTGGCCAGCAGGTCCAGGGAGGTTCTCCTCCCCCTCTACTCTGCCCTGGTGAGGCCCCATCTGCAGTGCTGTGTCCAGTTCTGGGCTCCCCAGTTCAAGAAAGATGAGGAGCTACTGGAGAGAGTCCAGCGGAAGGCTGACAGGGTGGGGAAGGGAAGCCTGAAGAAGAGAAGGCTGAGAGGGGAGCTAATATATACTTACAAATATCTGCAGGGTGGGTGTCAGGAGGATGGGGCCAGACTCTTTTCAGTGGTGCCCAGCGACAGGACAAGGGGCAACGGGCACAAACTGAAGCAGAGGAAGTTCCGTCTGATCATGAAGAAGAACTTCTTCCCTCTGAGGGTGACGGAGCCCTGGCCCAGGCTGCCCAGGGAGGCTGTGGAGTCTCCTTCTCTGGAGATATTCAAGCCCCGCCTGGACGCGGTGCTGTGCAGCCTGCTCTGGGTGACCCTGCTTCAGCAGGGGGTTGGGCTGGGTGACCCACAGAGGTCCCTGCCAAGCCCTACCATTCAGAAAAAAAAAAACACAAACCTGCACCCGTCTTTGCCCTGAGGGTCCCGGGATCGCCGCTGCCTCTCAGCCAGCCCCGCTGGAGGTGGGAACCCGTCTGGCCCCCGTGCCAGCCCTGGCATTGCCTGAGGCAGGCTTACTCGGAGGGCGAAAACCCGTTCCTGCCTCTGGGTTTGCGAAGGGCTCGTGTCGGGCAAGGCGCCAGGTCTGAGCAGTGCAGGTGGGGCGTTGGGGAGTGGGGCTGCTGTCGGGCTCCCCAGTTACCCCCAGTAGTCCTGCTGTGCCTGTCAGGCACTGCGTTACTAAAGCCCGGTCCTGCCATCCGCTGCAGGGTGGTTTTCATAGCGTGGAGGCAAAGGCCAAAGAAGACCCTTCCTCTTGGCTGAGAGGAGGGTTCCCGGTCTCTCTGAGGAGAACCCAGTTAAAGATACCCGCTGTCAGGGAGCAAGTGGAAGCTGGTTTCGTAGGAGAGGCCGCTTGCTGCCAGCCAAACAAACCGGAAAATGGCACTGTGATGTTTGTGAATTGTTTGCTTACGAAGCAGAACTTCTTGGGACGGAGGTCCTGGCGTAAGTCTGATGGTGGCTACGTAGCAACGGAGCAGCAAAATCCTCCGGTGAAAGACCTGACTCTGATTTCTGCTTTTCTGTGATTCTCCCCAGGAATTCAGATGTTTGTCTGCAACCGTGAGCACTATGGTTTCCTTCCCATGCCCCTGAAACCGCACCAGACGCTGCAAGAAGAAGCCGAGAACTTTGTGCACACACTGATCGAGGCTATGAGTAAGTTGCCGTGTCCTGCCATGATGGACTCCCCCCCCCAAGCTAGTATTTGTGGAGCTCTCCTGCCAGCAGCCCAGCTATCTTCCCTTGGGATTCTGCCTCCTGAGCTGGCTGCTCTCGCGCTGCTTTGATAGGTTTCCCATTTTCCACTGCTTTTTTACCTAAGGCTGTAATCTTGTCACAATCGGGTCAACCCCATTCACAAAACCCCTCAACTTCCCCGTATCAAATGCAGAAACGCATCTTCAGTGTGGGAAGGGTGCTGCAGAACCTATATTTTGTCCTGAGCTCTGCCTGGCAGATGGCTGCTGGCTCCCGCTTTGCAGCGTGGACGCTTTCTGCTGCGCCGGCTTCGCGTCCCAGCTCCCTGCGGCTTCTTAGGCCCAGTGGTGAGGACGCCTGCAGATAGGTTACATCAACGCGGTTCGTACAGGAGGGAGAAGCCGGGGGTCTCTCCTCTCTTTCAGTCGATCGCCCTCCCATTGAACCCTCTCAGTATGTCTCTGTTCCTCCGAAGAACCCGGACAAGATGGGATTCGATGAAGTAAGGAACCTATTTTGCTGCCGTTGTCTTGTCTTCCTCTTTATCACGGAGAGGACCTGGGTTCTCCCTGTCGCTGAGCTTCCAGCCATTTCCCTTGGAGTATATTACCTTTTCACACCGTTAGCTCTTTCCTAATCACTCATCTTTTGGACTCAAACTTTCTGCAGGGAGAAAATAGCCATCCTGATTTGGGGAGCAGGGAAGGGCTGAGGGAGCATTCTTTCCCCCTGGCGTTTGCTGCGGAGAAGCGAGGCCGGTCAGGTCTGCGGGCCCTTGGTGCCTGCTGCCAGAGCCCTGATGAGCGGTGCAGGTTTGTGCGCAAAGGCAGCGCCCGGCAAATCCGTGGCCTTCCTGCCCGCTGACGGGGTGGATGTTTCAACCCAGCCAGGAGGAGATGGCAGAAATGAGGCTGAAAACCGGGTCATTTAACTCCCCCGTTCTTGGGCTGTTTCCTCTACGGCTGCCTGTGCGGAGCAGCTTCCGTTCTGCGACAAAAACTGCTCTTCTGGGACACCAGTGAGGGACAGGAACGATTCCTCTCACCTGAGAGAGACATTGGAGAGCCCGGAGCGGCTGGGACAGCCAGGCTCTCGGCTGGGCTCTGCCCCGAGCCGGGTACGTCCAGGAGAGATGCACACCGTGCATGCTGTCCCCTTGCTGTGGCAGCTGTCCCCCACCCCTACTTGGTCACCACATCTTTCTGCTACGTTCTGCCTTAAGTTCAGGTGAAGCAGACAGATGATTGCTGGCACTGGTAGTGCCCCAAGACCCCGCAGAAATCCCTCTCTTGACTCTGCCTCGCGTCGTGGAGAGAGCAGGCGGTGGGGGGAGAAGGCTGGAGAGGGATCTGCTTGCTTTAATGAACCAGTGTCCGTGTCGCCCTGTGTGTGCAGCTGCCCGGTGGCAGCGGCACTGTGACCGAGGGAGCTGGGGAGACCAGCGGAGCCTCTCTTTTCCCGGCGTGTTCTGCTCCGTCTGTTTACGCGACTCGTAAAGTCTGAACCTGGTTTGGCTCTGTGTGTTTGAGCGCCTGTGTTTAGGACGCAGCTGGCACAGGTTTTTTCCATGTTGTCCTTTGTGGCTGCGCTTTATTTATCCAATTTATTATTTTTGCATTTGCACTGAGCTGGAATTCTATCCGCTCCTTACTGGGACGAGGTTTTGCTCCCCAGGCTACAAGGCTGCACTTGTACTTGTCTGCCTGGGACTGAAAAATATCGCTGACGCTCTGCAGTTTGCCTGCAGAGGAGGGCTCAGTCCTGTGCCCTCCCCAGCGACTCTGTCTCCTCGAGGCTTGGGCCGAGCCCTGCCAGACACCGCCGTGCCCGGCTGGGGCTCTGCGCTGGCCTTTCTGCTCTGGCAGGGGCAGCGGTGGCTTTTCAGTGCCCAAAGTAACGACAAAACCCCTCTCGTTGCTGTGTCCTGGTACTGGAGTGGTGGCCCCGCCGATAATCCTGAACGCAGGCAGTGGCAGCGCTGTGGGAAGCATCTGGGTCAGCGTTCCCCCGGGACTGGGGCCATTTTACTCTGTGCTTAATATAAATCAAAACATCTTATATCTTTGGAAATTGTAGGCTTGGCTGAAACTGGCCTCGCCTGTATTCATCCTTGAGGAGCAGCTTTCCCTGTGATGTAGAACATCTGTAAAAAGTACTGGTTAGACAAAGAACCAGCTTCTAACCTTTCAACTCAAAACCCACCCCGGTTTCTTGACAAATTCTAAGCAGCCTGGGATGAAAACACGCCTGGTATTTTAAGGAGATCTGCTTTTCCAGTGGGGCTGCTGGAGGAGGGCGGATCGGGACCCCCTTTTCTTCCTGGCTCCCAAGCCGGGAGGCTGATGTCTCTCTCTTCTACCCAGATTTTCATGATCAACCTGAAGCGTCGGAAAGACAGGCGGGATCGGATGCTGCGGACTCTCTATGAGCAGGAGATCACAGTCAAGATCGTGGAGGCTGTTGATGGAAAGTGAGTTGCGGCTGGGCTTGCTGGGGTTTGCAGAGAGGGGGCTGCGCGTACCTGCCTGGCGCCGTCCCTTCGGATGGCCGAGAGAGGTCTCCTGGCAAGGCCATCCACCCAGGTGCGACAAAGCTGTTGTGCTACAGGGCTAACGCTGACACAGCCCTTTCCAACTTTAAGGTGTCTTAAGACCTTAAATTTTAGATGGGGGAGTTGCAAAAAGGCCTAAGGGAGTCAGGAACCCACATGACGGCTCGTGGTCTTTGAGCCTTGGGTGTACCCATCAAGGCGCTTTAGAAGAACATTCTGAGGCAGGCACCTGACAAGTTGAAGGTCCCACAAGAAGTCGTTGGCAGAGTTAAGGTTATGATTTGTCAGCTTGGTTTAGGAATGTGCATCAAGTTGATTTTTCTCTGGGTTTTGAGTGAAACAAGTGCAGGAATTTCTCAAGATGTGGTGTTTCTCTGCACATCAGCAGCATTTCCCATGTCGTGTCTGATTTGAATTTACTTTTTCGGTTTTTTTTTAAATAGTAATAGATATTCTCTCTTTCCCAGAGCGCTGAACACGAGTCAGCTCAAGGCTCTCAGCATCGACATGCTCCCGGGTTACCGGGACCCGTACTCCTCCAGGCCCCTGACCAGGGGAGAGATCGGCTGCTTCCTCAGCCACTACTACATCTGGAAGGAGGTGAGGACGTCGCGGGGCCTCGGCTTTCTGCGCGGAGGTGCTGCGGGCGGGTGCAGTACAGCGCCGGGTTCTGGAAGCACGGGATGGGACTGTTCTTGGTTTGCAGGGGTTTTCCTGAACGCCGTGTTCAGCTTTCCTGTCTCTGCCTTCCATTTGCCAACAGCTCTGAGTGATTTTTATCAGAATATTTTCATGGCTGTTCGTGCAAAGCATCCGATAGCTTGCTTGGAGCAAGCTTGCTTAGGAGAAAGGCAAGAAGGCTTTGAAGAGCGAAAAGTGTTTAAAAAAACCCAATCCGATAGCTTGCTTGGAGCAAGCTTGCTCAGGAGAAAGGCAAGAAGGTTTTGAAGAGCAAAAAGTGTTTAAAAAAACCCCAAACCTGGCGATTTTTTCCCCCTGGTTCTGCATCTGTGCTGAAGCAAGTTCAGTGACTCTGCTGACTGACCACAGTGAGGGTGGTGATACTGGCCCAGGTTGCCCAGAGAGGCGGTCAATGCCCCATCCCTGGAAACATTTCAGGCCAGGCGGGATGGGGATCTGAGCAACTTGATCCAGGTGAAGATGTCCCTGCCACTGGCAGGGGGTGGGACCAGACGGCCTTTAAAGGTCCCTTCCCACCCAAGCCATTCTGTGAGTCTGTGACTGGCTTTTTTGTGTTGGCATATCATAAACATTCTCAACAGTAGGGACCTCTGTTACCTGAGCTAAGAGACCTTGTTTGGGTGGTAAGAGCTGTAGCTTCCCTCTGTCCCTGCTCCCCTGGGGAGTGACGCTGGAGAGGGTCTGGGCTGTGCTTGGCAGAGGCTGGAGTCACCGGGAGGGTTTGCTTCGGGTGAGGTGAGGTGTGGAGGCAGGGGGGAAGGCTTGGTGCTGAGAGACAACGGGGTGACGGCAGCGGTTCCCCCCGTACGGGCAGCTGGTCCGAGCAGCCTGGAGCCAGCAGGAGGGACTCTGGGCCTGGGAAGCCAGGAGATGCCTTTGGGCTTGAGGCTAAATCGCCAACAGTCGGGTGATAATGCAGGAACCTGCACACAGGGTGCCTTTGCATGGGTGTTCTCCGAGTCATCAGGGCCAGGCTTTGGATGCCCCGGGTTGTCCCCCTTCCCAGGACACTTTCTTCCAGCAAAGAGCACTTTCTTCAGGAGCACTTTCTTCCAGCAAAGAGGTTTTTCTGAGCAGCAGCTTTGGCATCAAAGGCTGCTGCACGTTCCTCTGAGGAGGTGGTTGCTGTGGTCGTGCTAGATGGTAGTTCGTGGGTTCTAGGTGGTGCAGCATCAGGTAAAGGGTTCTTCCAGGTTGCAGATGCTCAGCCACCAGGTATCTTCTGGCCTGGCTCTTGCAGTCTCTCCTAGCTGAGCTGTGAAGCGGGGAGTGGTTCTCCTTTCTCCCTACCTACGTGGTCCAGAAGGCAGGGGAAGGCCAGCGGCTTCATGGCCACCGTGATCACTTCTGACCCCTCCTGTTTCAGGTGGTGAACAGGGAACTGGAGAAGACGCTTGTTATTGAGGATGATGTGCGCTTCGAACACCAGTTCAAAAGGAAGCTCATGAAGCTGATGGACGACATTGAACGAGCCCAGCTGGACTGGGAGCTGATGTGAGTGACCAGCTATGGGGTTGGCAGCGCCGGCCGTGTGGTGGCGGAGGTGCAGCTGAGTGCTGGGGGCAGGGGAAGGTAGCAGAGATGTCTCAGGGGTTCTCCCCGTCAGGGCAGGCTGGTGCTGGAACGCCCGCCGGGTACCATTGCTGCCCGTGGTGGGCACGGTGCTTCATCTCGGCGGCATCCAGAGATGCTGCTGCGACGAGGAGCTGGCGCGGCTCCGTCCTGAGGCGTGGACCATGGCGTCTTAGCTCCCTTACGAACTCTTTCACAGCTGCGCCGGCCAGCGGGTGAAGGCATGGGGGGTGGTGGGGTGCTGGGTAGAGACCCGTGAGCCTGGCCAGGGATTACTGCTTG